TAAGCGATTTTCAGGAATTTCTGTATTCAACAATAATCTTGACTCGTACATAGAATACTTACATGTTATCAGAAGTCTATGTATCAATTCTAAAGGTCAGAGTTACGTCATGTGATGTTGCTTAGATGCGAACCACATGTATTATGTATTTCTATAGGCTCAGTGTTTCGCTGTTGTGGAAATGCCCAGATGTACGCCCCCAAGAATAGAGCTGAGCAGTCTCTAATCCGTAGAAGATGATGATAGCGGGAAAGGGGAAATAAGATTATGGAAGTGTTTATTATATCTTTTTATCGTCATGAAAATAGAACATTATTTTATGTATATTTTGCTAGTTGCAGTTAATATGACATGTTCAACAGATTGTTGAATAATATATTTTTTCCCCAAAGAATTGCTTCAAATGTTGCAATATTATTCTGAATCCAGTAAGTTTGTTTCAACACCATTGGGTAACGAAATCATAAAATTAAAATTTCACAAAGCAATCAGAATTTAAACTCTAATTTCTTAGTTCCATATACTGTAAAATACTTATTTTAGCTGGAACTACACTGAGAAAGACTTATTGGGTGTTTTATATGGAATATATTTTTTCTGATTTCTGCCAAGTTGAATGTAAAATATAGGAAAAAGGGTATATTCGCTAGATTTTATTTTCACTGAATCATTGCTTCTGCGAAAATTAATTCCAAGCGAAAATAAAGTAATTTACAGTATCTCAATGGGAATGTTGTCATGGTAAAACTGATAAGATAGTACCTGACAATTTACAAAGCCAAGTGCCACAATATTGCCACTGAATAGTAAGCATCTTTTTAATTTGCTATATTTGTGTTATAGCTGGAACAAAAAAAAACAAGCAGGTTTATTTCATGAAATCACAAATCCCAAAATATAGTGATTACATGATAAGTTTTAAATTAGCATAATTGTTTAAGAATAATTTTTATTTCATATTATAATAGAACATTTTTATTGTGTACTTTCCTTGTGGTACTTTCAACTACAATTTATTATTGCATTTGTTATTCTGTTAGATTGTGAATTTGGTCATAACTTTTAAAAATGTTTTTTTTTTTTTTTGATATAGCTATATATATGTTGTCTAGTAAACAACTGAATTTTTTTTTAGATTTTATTCTGTGTTTATGTATCATGATTATAATATAAATTTAATTTACCTCCTTGGATGATGAGATGACCCTGATGCAAGTCTGTATTGACAGCCACTATTGGTTGAATGGTATGAAAAGTGAAGTTTTAAACCAATCAGAAAAGCAGTTTCAGAAATGAATATCAATTTTCATTTACATGCCACGCTTTGAGTAAACACACTGAAACAGGAGATTTATGTACTCTCACATACAATGATCCAACTTCTATCCAGAAATTTCTTTTTATGGTTTTGTTAAGCATACAATATTGACTGGTATACATACCGGTACTACTTTTGTTGCCAACTGTTCATTTCTGTTATTAACCATTGATTGTGGATAATAACATGAACTTTATTAACTGTCCAGGTTCTGTTGATACAAAATGTATGGATCATACCATTATCTACAGCTGATGGGGTGGTCAGGTTATTTATCAAATTAAAAGATAAGCTCAGGTAATTAAGTGCCAATAATTGATAATTAATTCCAATGCAACTGATTTTTGATCTTTAAAAATAAGTTTTAATGATGACAAGTTGTTTTTAATGATTTTATATAATAAGAATTTACGCAAAAAATACCAAAGATAAGCGATCAATTTTTAAAAAATTATTTATTGTGTATATGTATGAGACAGTTTTAATAAATGTTGAAAAGTAATATATATATTTAATTGTATTTTTATTTTGTTTTTTTAGAAGATTTTATGGTACAGAAGCAGTCACTATTATATTGCAAATTAGCACCAGCTAATACTGTAGAGTCTTGCCCAATTATTGGTGATCCACTCCGCTAGGATTGCCCCTTAAAATCACTTTTGTGTGCATGTGTGTGTCTGTTTGTGTGCATGTGTGTGTCCGTTTGTGCGCGTGTGTGTGGTACCAACGTTGTGGAGACTTCAATTTAACTTTACAACGACTTGTGATGACAGGACCTACATTGTGACAATATTATATATTGATATTTAATCAAATTAAGTCAAGTTTGCGTAGCTTCGGTTCAGTAAAGGCTCAATGTATATTAATATTAATATAATATTGTACCATACCTTCCCCCTTTTGCAAACATTTCTATGTTAAGTCACAAGATATTTAACTTTTATTTAATTAAACTTAATTAAAACGCAATTCTATATTGAATTGCATTGCAATTGAGTTTAATTAAAATCAATTAAAACGCAACCCTATATAGGAACATGTTTTAATCAAGTTCATAATACAACTATATTAAAAGTTAATCCAATGTGTGTCGTTACAACGATGGTAATTAAGATGTGTATGTGGTTTTCCGTGTCTTCACGTACTAATTCTTCTGTGAATTTTTTGCCTGGGTTGATTTCGCTCAAACTTAGCAGGCAGGTCACACCTTCACTCTAGTTTGGTGGTAACTATATCTCTAAAAATTCCTGGTGCACCATTGCCATGGCAACACCCAAAAGAAAGACTTTTCACAACCAAGGAGAGATGAAAATAAGAAAATGTTAGGGAGTAATTGAAATAGCCAATCAGTGTTAGTAGAAGCCAAAGGTAGTATTTGAAATGACCAATCGGGGTTGGCGGAAGTCCAGGTTAGTATTTGAAATGACCAATCAGGGTTGGCGGAAGTCCAGGTTAGTATTTGAAATGACCAATCGGGGTTGGTAGAAGTCCAGGTTAGTATTTGAAATGACCAATCAGGGTTGGCGGAAGTCCAGGTTAGTATTTGAAATGACCAATCAGGGTTGGCGGAAGTCCAGGTTAGTATTTGAAATGACCAATCGGGGTTGGTAGAAGTCCAGGTTAGTATTTGAAATGACCAATCAGGGTTGGTAAAAGTCCAGGTTAGTATTTGAAATGACCAATCAGGGTTGGCGGAAGTCCAGGTTAGTATTTGAAATGACCAATCAGGGTTGGCGGAAGTCCAGGTTAGTATTTGAAATGACCAATCGGGGTTGGTAGAAGTCCAGGTTAGTATTTGAAATGACCAATCAGGGTTGGCGGAAGTCCAGGTTAGTATTTGAAATGACCAATCAGGGTTGGCGGAAGTCCAGGTTAGTATTTGAAATGACCAATCAGGGTTGGCGGAAGTCCAGGTTAGTATTTGAAATGACCAATCGGGGTTGGCGGAAGTCCAGGTTAGTATTTGAAATGACCAATCAGGGTTGGCGGAAGTCCAGGTTAGTATTTGAAATGACCAATCAGGGTTGGCGGAAGTCCAGGTTAGTATTTGAAATGACCAATCAGGGTTGGCGGAAGTCCAGGTTAGTATTTGAAATGACCAATCGGGGTTGGTAGAAGTCCAGGTTAGTATTTGAAATGACCAATCGGGGTTGGTAGAAGTCCTCGTTAGTATTTGAAATGACCAATCAGAATTGGCAGAAGAAACAACTCTTTTACAAGGTGTACTATTTATTCACAAGGAAGTAAAACCTCTACATTATAAGGGAGATATAATTTATATTAAACAGATTGTGCATACTACAGATGATACTGTGAGTGATCACCCCATTGATATTCGTTAAAAAGTTTTGAACTAATCTAATGTTTTGGATTAATCTAATCTATATCAAGTACTCAGCTGGGTGAAGATTTATCGATGTAGTGGTTTCAGAATGACACAGTTTAATATTCAAATGTAAAAACAAAAGAAAATCTATCATTTCAACTTTGGTTTCACTTTATCATCTATGTGGAGTTTACTGTAGTAAGAGAAGTTTGTCACCAAATGCTTTGCCTAATGTGAAAATAGCTCTCAAAGCAGTAATGTGAGCCATGGGAGTGAATTGTTGAACAATAATTTGACATGTTTAACTGAAACATAATGTACGAGT